GGAGGGGTCCTGCTCCGAGACACCCCCCCCCCCCAGAACGTCCGCAGGGGAGCAGAGGGGCATCTGGGTGGCTGGAGAGCAGGAGCCCTTGCAGGGCCGGGATGGGGTGAGATTGTCCGAAGGGTCAGACAGGGCGCCCGTGTCCACGCGAGAAGGCTCTGCCTCGGCTCCGCCCTCGTGCCCCCGCCCCCGCCCCGGCAGGTGCGCTCACCCTTCTCAGCAGCTCGCCGGCCACAGCGCGTCACCTTGCTTCTCTTCTCGACAAACACCTGTGCCCTCCAGCCGGGGCAGAACAGGATGGCTGTGGATCAGGGGCTTCTCCTTACTCACCCCGCTGGTGAGGAGGGCCCTGGCCTCTGCTGCAGGTGCCTTCCTGCCTGGGGAAGCCTGGCACCCTTCGCCTCGCGGAATCCCCCTCTCTCCTGCCCACCGGCTCCAGCCCCTTCCTCCCTCTGCACCCCTCTTGCTCCTTTGCCCTCTGCCAAGCCCCTCTCCCCCTCTCCAGAATGGTGTCCCCTCTTCCGCCACACCTCCCTCTGGACAGGGCGAGTAGCCGTGGCCAGCACCCCCATGGCCTGTTCCAGCACCGAGTGGCGCGTCACACAGAGCCCCCCCTTCCTCCTGGAAAGCCTCTCCTCTTAAGCTCCAGGTTCTCTCTCCAGGCTTGCCTCCTCGTGGTCGTCTGTCTCCGTGGCTCGGTGGCTCCCTGTCCCCTGCTACCCTGTAAATGTGGCCAATCCCTGAGGGCCTGTCCTGGCCCTCTTCCCTCTCATCGCAGCAGACATGTGTCGTGGCTTGGATATATAAAGATTTTTAAATATTAATTTATTTGAGAAAGAGCACACTGCACCCAAGCAGGGGGAAAAGCAGATGGAGAGGGACAGGCAGACTCCCCGCTGAGCATGGAGCCAGACTTGGGGCTCGATCCCAGGACCCCGACATCATGACACAAATGGAAACCAAGAGTCGGACACTCAACCGACTGAGCCACCCGGATGCCCCAAGGACACCTGTATTTTTAACAAACTTGAAAGCCTCTGCCCGGCTCTCCTGGGTGAATCTTGCCCCGCGTTCATGGCCACTCCTCTCAGCAGGTGTAGCCCGCGGCTGGGCATCCAGCCAGACCTGCCCCAGGCCCCCGGCCGCATGCCTGCTCGGTAGGTGCACAGCTCGTGGGTACCTCCCTCTGGCCCCAAAACTTCTATCCCAGGCCTGTCCCTCCTCCCATCCTCTCCTTCCTGGTGCAGGGACCGCCACTGCCTGGACGGGGTCCACAGCTGTTGGCCCGGCTGCAGGGCTGGACGGGGACCAGCATCACTGACCGTGTGAACAGCCTGGGGATTCTGGTCCTGCCACACCGTGTGCTCTCGGTTTGCAGACAGCATGGCCTTTGCAGCGCCCCTTCTCCTTTGGGGAGCCCCTGCCCAGGACAATACCCATTCCCCTTTCGCATCCTGACTTGCTGGCTGAGGGGCCAGAACCAGCCACTCTTCCTCCTTGTGCGTGGGGATCCTTGTCCTTACAGTGGGGTCAGACTAGTTCCTGCCTCGTGGGACGGGCGTGAGCAGAGGCTGGGGCCTCCTGGACCCTGTATCTACCCTATAGTATTTGACCCACGAGAGGTGTTTCCCAAGGAAGGGTTAACTGCTTGGTTTGTTGAATTAACTCAATGAATGAACCATTCCTTAACAACAGTTAAGAGGACCCCGAGCTCCCGTGCTTCCTCTGTGGCTTTGTGCAAACTTCCCAGACCTCTCAGCTTCGGTCTCTCAACTGTAAGATGGGGTCTAGCACCTACCTTTTAATTCGCTAATCTGTGCAGGGAGACAAGGACAGAGTACAGGCAGGGTTGTGCAGCGTTTGGGGCAGGCTGTTCCAAGAAATAACTTGTTAATAAAAAAAAAACAAAAAACTTCCCACTATTCATAAAACACCTCAAGAGAGCTGCTATTGAAATTTATTTCCTTAACTGAGTCCCTTTTATCTAAAATCTGGGTTTGTTTCTGTCTTTTAACCAATGTGGGTTTGGTTTGGTGGTGATTTTTACCTTTTCTGACCTTGTGATTGACTTCATTGCTGCACGTGGAGTGACCTAATGGAAGCTGACCTCGAACAAGAAGGGGCATGTCTTTTTAAGGGTGCAAAGCCCCCCAAGACTGACCGCCTAGAGAGTTCACATTGGCTCCCACTGTGAGCCGAGGGCAGGAGGAGCTTCAGCCTCGTGGAGGAGGGCTCTCCCGAGGTCCTTCTGTGAGACCCAGGGACTTAATTCAGCGGCTCCAGGTGGGGCCTGGGTGCTCTCAGGTGATCGCCGCAGGGAGCTGAAGCTTACGGTTTGCAAAATGGTGCCAACAGAGCCTGGTCTAGGTCCTGGGGCCTCCAAGGCAGAAGGGTCTAGGCAGGGACTGGCCCCATTTCTGGCTGTAAGCCAGCGTGGCCAGCCTGTGGCCAGCATTCTGTGCTGTGAGAGCAGCGTTTGGCTCAGCCCTTAGCTCTGGATCAGGCAGCCACCTCTTTCCAGGGGCCCAGAAACACACACTGAAGCCATCAGTCCACAGGACTGTTAGCCCATTTGATCAAAGCACAGGGCAAGGGACCACATGGGGAAAGGCCACTCCTGGCGCCTTGTTGTCTTTAAGCCTTAATGGTGTCATCTATTTATCCCATGTTTCTGTTACATTTGTTTCCAGCAAGCCTGAAGCCAGTGGCCTACCGCCCGGCCAGAGCTTAGCCGGTGGCTCTCTCCACACCCAGGGCTTGATGGGAGGGAGAAAGCCACTCGAGGGTTTAGACAGCTCAGCTGCTAATGACGGTGCTTTCCACCTGTCTGATTGAAATACCCAAGCGGTAGGTTGTCTGCTTCTCAAGGAAAAAGGCTCTTCTCTCCTCTAGGGGACCCACCCCAGTGCAGGACTGCGGAGTAGCTGCTCAGATGGGCGGTGGCTGCCGGCATCTGTCGGTGGGTCAGTCCGGGGAGAGTGCCCCTGCCCTGCCGCAAGCCGACAGCCGGCTTCTCTGCCGCCCTGGGGTGTCCTCGCCCCTCCCAGCTGCTCTCTGCACGGGAGACGGTGCAGGGAAGCTCCCGTTTGGTCTGACGCCCGTGGGGTGGTTTGGGGACTGCTCTCAGGAAGAATTGTCCCCGTGTGACAGTGTGATGGGTGGCCGTGGGGACAGAGGGAGTCTCCCAAAGCTGCAGTGCCCTGGCTTCACCAGGATCGGAGGCAGGGCCACAGGGGCAAGGGCACGACCATCGTGTATACCGCGTGGAAGCGGCAAAGCGCTCACACCTGGCTGGAAGATCGTTGTGTTCAGGTCTGCCCCAGCCTGATCTGGGACGCTGGGAGGCCAGTCAGGGCCAGAGCACCTGAGCCTGGCCCTGAACAGCCACACACACAAGAGAGAAGAACTAAGTCCTTCCCTGGCTCCTTCCTTAGGGTTTCTCCAGGACCAGCAGGACGCTTGAGGCCAGGGGGCGGGGCTTGGGCCTGTGGGCGGGGCCAGACGGCGGCCTCACGCGGGCGGTGGGCGGGGCGGGCTTTGTGAGCATGCGCCCTACTGCCCTGGCGCCCACCACCTGTTCTTGGTTTCCGGCTCCTCATGCTTGCCGCGGTAGGAAGTAGCGAAAGGCCCGGAGTGCTTGAAAAGGGGGGGGGCTCGCAGTGCGTGAGGAGGAGGAGACCCGGGTGGGCACCCGAGTGTGCCTTCGGGACAGCCTAAACAAAGATACCCACAAAAATCCTTCCAAGGTGGAGACGGGCAGACAGGTCCCGCAGTCGGTGCCGTCTGGGAAAGGGGCAAGCTTGCAGGTGGCACCAGAGTCTGGGAGAGCGTGAGCAATACTAGAATGTCGTCAGGTTCCCTCAGGATGCAGTTTTACCCGCCAGCAGGTGCCGCCTCCCTGCTGGGTTGGGAAAGGAGTCCGCCCACCCCAAGGCCCTAGTCTCTGCCCTCGTCAGTGCTTCCTTGTGCTGGGAATGCAGCAGAAGCTTGGCGGGACGCAGGGAGGCGTAACCTGGGGCAGCCTGACGCCAGTATCTGCACATGATGTCGTGGCCTTTGACTCGGTGAGTGTTGGACGTGTAGCCTGGAGTTTGAATTGCACCTTGAGCTTTTAAAATTCTTTCCCTGTGAAAATACAAGTTAATTTCACCATCAGTGCTTTTGGTCCGGGAGGAAGGGTGCAGGACACAGCCAGGCTCTTTCCCGAACAGGGCTGGGTAGTTGTGCAACTCTAAATTTAATCCAAAGCCTACATTTCCAGGGGTGAGTGTGCTGTAGGAAGCCGTCTGTGGACAAATGAGGATAATAGTTTGAGTGAATTAGCAAGTCTGGAGAGGAGGGCCCATCAGCAGAATGACAAATTTAGGATCTTTAAAGACATCTGGTCAGCGATGCCGGAGCTCATGATTGACTGAGTGATTAATAATGGAAAACCCTTAGTTCAGTGTTTCTGCTGTCCCTCGCCCACTTCCCCAGCCAGGGCGGGCTGTCTGCCGCAGCCTGCCAGAGACGTTTCCCACTGAACAATGGAAGCGTTTAGACCCCTCATCCTCGACCTCTGTGAGTTTAAGGTTTCGGTTTTTCTTCTCCTTATCCAACCTCTGTGTGTTTACTCATTGACAACTCCGGGAGAAGGCTCCTGATTTCCTTCCACATTTGATGTGATCCCATTCATCTTAATCAATGCTGCGTTCCAAGAGCCTGCTGCTGGCCTCGCCCCTCAGGGTCACCTGGATTTGCAGCTCCTGGTTCACTAACCAGGGCCTCTCTCGGACACAGCAGTGGGATGCACTGAAGGGCTGAAGCTGCCC